AGTCCATACACAGTCCTAAATGCAATTATTCATATTTCATTTACTGAAGATACCATTAGAATGAATACGCTCGCTCATGGAACCGCAAATCAAACAGAACGGCGGTACAACAGTGTGGTGTTCGAGCTATTAAAATACAGAGTAGGTCTAGTTTAAAAATATTCATATTTAATATTTAGATGACATACTTTGTATTATGTCTATTTCTATTGAATCATAATATTGTCCAGTTCGCCTTTCTCGTTCGTTGTGTATAGCATTGAAGTTTTGTGAATTATTTTCGGCAACTGAAAAAGATTGGAAACGAAGAGCGTTAAAATAGTTAAACAATATACTAAAAAGGAAATGTACACAGTGATTGTCAATATGCACATGAATATGCATATGCATAAAACATGATTTTGCACCACACATTTACATTTTTACCTGCATTCATGTGCATGATATCGACAACAACACGACCAGCGTGACCAACAGTGGGTTTTAATGACTTATTCGGGCAAAACAATCATAATCTATAATTTAAGACTGAAAACAAGATTCTTACTGTAAATCCGGATCCGGAGATCGAAAGGCTTCTGCGAGGGCATCCAGTGACCCATGCCCCTGAAACTCGTCTGCTTCACTGGCGTCGCCATTGTAATTACCACATAGACCGCAAAGGTTGCCAGCAGCTCCTTCGTATGTTATAAAGATGTCCAATCTTTTCTTTTCACAATCGAAGACGGCTCTGTATTGGTTGAACGATTCAACTACAATGAATTCACCGACGCGTTCTATACTTCCGTGGTTTGGAAAGTTTCTAAACGGTTGAGATTCAAGGTCCATATTCCGTCCATTCAACTGCAAATACAAACATAACAGATGCAATTGCTACAGAAAGAGATAAACTTGATACACATTTCCTTCATGATGTTGCCAATAAATCATAATAAAAAAAAAACATAACTGATTGACCTTCTCAATTGTTATTTACACACATTAAAATTTCCCTCTAAGCAACCCCTCTAGGGAAAATGCGCGTCAACGACGTCACACATACGTCAAAAGAACAGGATGTTGTTAAAAGCAATAACCATATCTGGTTGTGTAATAGTTCATCATTTAAATATATCCAAAACAACAGACAAAAATAATATCGACGATGTGTACGACATTTTCTGTCCACCGGTGAAGCCCTTCGTCGCAAGAGGGCGCTAGAATGTCTATTGTGAAAGTACCTTAGTTTATACCTAGTGTTACTAGTGTTGAAATAATCACGGCTCTTGCTACATTACCTTCTAGTTGGATGGAACGGAAAATTACCCTACCTTGACACTGCAATCTGGAGCGATAACTTCGGTAAAGTGACCTGTGCCAAATCGACGCAAAATTACACCAACAATACGGGTATGGCCAGGTCGCTTGGGATTTATCTCCTTGGTGCGAACTGATATAACTTGCCATGGCCTTGTAGCAAACGTTCCACCACACCAAGCAACGACAGCGTAACTGCAATTTCCCATATGATCATACTTGAGTCCATCGAAGGTGAGATAATGGGGGTCGCCTTTAATTATACATGCTGAAAAGCAATTTACATAATATTGTTTATAATATTCCGTTCCTATAAGTATCGCCCTCTATCAACAAGGCGCTTCTGTGGCGTAGGTGCAAGGATTCGCTAGTTTCCGGCGTCTCCTGCGAATGGCGCAGGAAAATAGTAATCGCCATATTGTTCCACTGGGCAGAGATTTTAAAACATCCCAATTCTCGCTCTTCGCAAACAAGTCTGTAATACTGCAATAACTCCATACCCATTCAGTCTACCTGGTTCTGACATTTCCCGACATTTGTATGCGAAAGAATTTTAGAATCGCGCAACTTTTGAGAGTAAAATCAAACCCCCGATCTATATAGAAAAGGACCACGGGCGTAATCGCTGACGTAAGGTAACCAAACGAGATACAAGGTGAGATAATAAAACGCGGACCAATCAGAACCAGCCAATCAGAATGGGCCAATCAGATTGGCCGGAACCATTACTAGTTACCGGTGTCTTGCGCCATGACACCTGTGCAACGGACGCTGTTCGTATCGTCCATAACATTTTCTTTTGTTTTGTAAAATCGGTTTTAGTATAATACGAACGACTATACAATGTAACAAATGTGAACGACATTGCTTACAGATATATACGCCATTTTATGATCACAGATTCGCTTCACTACTAGAGGGCGCGATTTATAGAAACGGCATATTAATATATACATGTACTACTTAATATGGAGTTAGAATAATTCGTAATGATAATGGGTATTAATTCAATTTATTTTCAATAATGAACGATTAATAAACTACTGAGTGATAAGTAAAGTTGCCTACGAACAACATCGTACTGCCACAAAGTGTGCTGTGTCGAACCTTATCCAATTAGATTATATAAATACATCACGTGATACATGTATCCATGGAACATTTTTGTTATAACGTAATAAAAATCGGATATTCACTTATTAAATGTATCGGACAGACACGTACTTGGTAATCCACCACGCTTTCGTAATACCTGGAGTCCATAATATCATCCATAATACCGCATATACGGGAGAAAACAAACATTGACAAATAAATAAATCAGAATTAGTAATATATTTCATGCTAAGAATATATAAAATAACACGTATATGAATACTGATTGGATAGAGATAGTTGCGGGATGTATTGTCCGCATAATTCAGTCAATTAAACCGTTACCGATTCACAATCCGCAAAAATGTGAAACACATTTCTGCAAACAGAGAAGTTGAAGGATTATGAAATGACGTCACAAATATATGCGGTTTTATATCACATACGCTTTCAAATCGACATTTGAAACTACTAAAATCATTCGAATTATTATAATTCCTTAAATATTTCAAAAAATATTGGGTAAAACCACTAACACCATAATTTAACGGCGTATTTTGTGATACTTGGCAATGATGTTAGGTTAAGTTCAGCTGTTTGTTATCACATGCAAGAGTGAATCTCTACTGTGTGGCGTAATACAGAACAGATCGAAAATGCATATCACATAGTTTGACATCATATATTGCCGACCCCTATTTCATTGTACGCACTGCCTGACGGAGCTTTTGGGTGTATATAAGATGCGATAACTATTGTAGTAGAAATCGTTCAACTTATGTGTGCATTTTCAAAATTATTAATCATCCTATAAATCGTATGAAATAAAAAAAAAAATATGGCGAATTTGAGCAAATATCACGAACGTTGCAGAAACGTACAATGCACTACATACAAGCGTTGTGAAGTAGAACACTGTAGTTTTAAAAAAAATAGCATACAAGCCGCTCGCAATGATATATTTCTATTCAATGTTATTTCAGCAATAGTTCCACTTTTCAACAAAACACCGTTTATTTCCTTCGGACTGGGGAAATATGCATGTGACAATGGTATGATCTAACGCTATTTTATTTTAGGTTCACCTAAGCAGACACTCGTGAATACCGCCAGAGTAGATTAATATTCTCAGCTCGGATTGATACACAACTCAGCAGGTAATCACTCGTGTCTGCTGACGTCAGCCTAACATACTGTGGGATTATATATACGTATATAATAATTTAATAACCTTCTCATTAATATTTAATCATACAAACGTGCGTATTTTTTTTTGAATGATAAACAAATGCAGAGGATAATACTGGAAACAAACTTATAAAAGTGTAAGTTAAGAATGTACTATACATATGTAACTATTGGGAAATTAATTAATTTGCGCGGAAATATTCAGAACTGGGCATTTATCCACTATTCACAATAACACATCCAATTATTGTTTCTGTTGAACAGCGTGAGAGAGTTATCGAGAGGTTAATTACAGTATGCCCTTCTTATATGCTTATAGTATGACTGGCGTATATTCAAATCAAATGGGCACAAACGATAGATGAAATGTCACAACAGTAGTCGAATTCAAGCACAGTGCCAAGACGTTCCCTGCATAAGACAAAATATAGCAACGATCTAATATAGCCAGCAAATATGTTTTCCGTTCACTGTGAGATCTCGCACCACAGAGCGTGAAATGTGTGGACCAAACGTGGCGTCTACTGCAAAAATTTGATTTTGTAGCTGAATTTCTTTTTTTTTGTAGTTTAATATCGAAATGCCTAGCTTCCAAATAGGAATATGATGTTGAGGTACACTTACTACAACTTACTACAGCCAAACCATTGGAAAGCGTGAAAAAGCCCCCCAACATAATTTCGTGTTTGTCGAATCCCATGCTATGTTTTGACGACGTTACTACGCTATGCCCTTTGTTTGTCCTGTTTTTACGTTCGATTTCACGCATAACGCGGTGAACGGAAATTAATGGTCCTTTGAATTATTACACCGATCAAAATAAATAGTATAGTCATAAAGTAATGATATTCAGCATTAGACTAAAATGTCTGCTCATCACAAGTTATTAAAATAAAAACAGGTTTCAATAGACTAGAATATAGTAGAAGAATTCCGTCCGTTTGGTTCAAAACAAACTTGGTGATTAAAATGTTGTCATTTGAAGGGTACAATATATTATATATATTATAGTAATGCTGGCATACTAATAGGGGAAATCGAAAAAATAAAACTGAAGCGCACAATCGTAGCTTATGTTTTGTTTTTATATACATGTTTATTAAGTTAATTTGTGTATCATAGTAACAACCCTACACGGCGGAGCTACGTCACAAGACGTCCCACGTTGCTAAGACGCGTATAATTTTACCAGGTTTTTCTATGGGCTCTGCGCGAGCTGATATGGAACGCCAGTCGAAGAGCCGGTGAAAATAGCTAAAAAACAACACACACTCATCAGTTATATATGTTACACACACAGAGGTAATCTTGTTACACTGTTCAGGGGGGGGGGGAGGCTCAACCACAATCCCAAAGTGCCGTTTTTTCAGAATTTTTCAAGCGGTGAAAATGGACGGTAATCCGCCCGAGAATATTATGATTGTAATGTTCGCAAAACTGTGTTAGAAGCGTTGATATTTGTGTTCTGTAACGGCTACTGTATTCGCTATATATCCGCCAAAAACCGAACATGTCCAGTCACCGAATCACACGGGATTCTCCGTTCGACGATCAAAGGGATATAATAGGTATCAATAATCAATGTGAAGCATTTTCATTACGATTACTCTGGAATGCACACCATCTTTTTCAGTTGTTTTTGGTATAGCCATTATGTACCTCTCATTTGAATTTATAGGATGGATATATAATAATGTCCAAATAAACGTCGAGCATTGAAGATTGAACGCTTCTGCAGCAGAATTCGAACAACAAACATGGCGTGATAAATTATAACTAACGATACTTTGTTGATAAAAGTTACAATGCGTCCAGCTTCGATTAGTATACCCAGTAACTTTCAGATTTAATTGTTGGCAAAGTTACTGAACTAAATTTTGCAGACAGTACAATTTTAATAATATTTAATAATCAATTAGCTCAATTGATTCGGCAATTATATTTTGTAAATACTATGCATGCATGCTTAACGTTCGTACGTGGCAAATATATGTACATATAAAAGTTGAACACGTCTTTTGTAGTTACTGTTTGGGTGTCCTTCCACAGCCAACGTAATTCGGATGAGAAACAATACTGAAATAATCAACATGTTTTGGCATGGTATAGTGTGGCACACTGAAACATTGAATATTATTATAGAATAGAGGTAGGAAAAGTGGAATTATGAGTAGAGAATTTGGGGTAACTAGAAACTTAAAAAGAAATATTCAATTTTTAATGATGCTGGGTCTTGTTGAACTAATTTCATTTGTGTATTCGTCTGTTTGTTAAAATGTTTTACAAACGTTGTAACTTGGTCACGCGACGCATATGATAAAAGTAACTACATATAAATAAGTAGTCTCCGGGATGAGCAGATTCATCAAATAATAGGATCTAAGGCTTGAACATGATTTTAAAATGTTAACTTAATTCGAAATATCTGATACAATGGCTGCATGCATTAGTGTCCTTCTTTCCTTTACATACTGGTGTGATCGTTATTGTAATATTATTTGTCAGTCATGCGCAGAAGACATTAAATGTCACTTCACAGATTATTTATTCTGGACCTTGCATATGGTATAGACTCTTTAGTGATAGATTACATACTATTATTATATTTATATCAAGGAGAAGAAACGAAATTACCCAAAACGATAATCAAATCCATAATTAAATATAACAAATCCAACGACACAAAACAAAGGACATTACCACATACTAGTAGTCAAATCAGTGAGAAACATAAATATGGACCTCCATGCTATACATGAAATAACGCCAGGTAATTCGAAAAAAAGTGAGGTCAATGCGCTGCGCATGTGCCACCCGTCAAATGGTTTCCTACTTGGAACATGCTGTTTACGCAATCTAATTGTAAGATAAACTTTAATTAGTCCACAGCAAAGTGTTATAATAAAGAATGGAACATTTGGTGATCCTAGTTCCCACGAATCTGCAATGGATTTTTTAACACTAAATGAATGAATGAATTAATGAATGAAAAACAGCTACACTAATTAGGATCTGGAATGTTAAGCGTCATCGTTTTATCATTCTATTAATTTCTGTATCTACCATTAAATGTGTAGAAACACAACAATACTATGTACGTTTACAGACATAAACCCACTGGGTGCAATCCAAAAGACTCTGACCAAACTGTGGGTTTATCTGTAAACCCACTCCTTCGAGTTAGTGTTTCGAGCTTAAACTGCAAAACACACGATACAATTAAAAGATTGTATTGCCAGTGCACAGCGCTAAACATATGACAATTTCCATAAATGCCATTAATGTATCGCACAATTTGTCATTTGCTTATGAATAATTCAATGCCTAGGCTTGACATTGTCCTGTCTAATACGCGTTTTCCAATAGCTCACTCGTTAGAGATTCTACCTTCTGACGTTAATGTTGTGGGTTCAAACGTCTTCTTTGGCCAACCTTTGAAATTATTGAAAAAGAAGAAGATGCATATTTG